TATCTCTCTATCCATATGCATCACATATACTTATATATATATATATATATATAAGTATATGTGATGCATATCACACACACACACATCACTTTATATATTTCTTTAATATAGACTAAAGTTGGCACGATGGGACATTCCGCACCATTAATATTATTATGGCACGATGGGATATTCTGTGCGATTGTTATGATTATGGCATGGTGATTTATTTTGTGCGGCTTGATGATTGATTTCTAAAATAGTGATGATTGATTTTGGAGCTATAATGCTTGAGTGCATGAAATTTTGATTCATCTCTTCAGAGTCACGTGATTACCCATTCTACATTAGGGCGTAAATATAGTATTATTAGACACCGGAGAGGTGTTGCTTGTTGTAAAGCTTGAGTCTTTATCATGCATGGACATTCTAGACTCATGTAGAAATATTCATGTATATCATCTACATATGCATATTTGTACATTATACACATACATGAGATTTATTAGTAAGATGTTGGACACTTGGAGGTATTGGTTAATGTAAAGGTTAAGTCTTTATCATGCATAGACATCCTAGACTCTTGTAGAAGCATTTAAATCAATGCTACTTGTTGCTTATCTTCTTTACATGCGGAGATGGTGCATATCTTTATGCTTTGATCTTGTTATCTGAGAAAATATGTTTATTATCTTTTTCTTTGATTGTGTACCTTATTATTGATACTTGTCGTTTCTTGGTTGTTTCTATGTTATTGTATATGCTTATGAACTATACAAATTATATAAAGTGAGTATCTTTTGACTCAAATATGCCACTACTTTCTTGAGGTTAACCTTGATACTCATGGAGTACATAGGGTCAGTTATACTCATACTACACTTCTGCACCTTGTGAGTAGATTTTGAAGCTAAGTTTTTATGGAATCCAAAAGTGAGCATTGAAGATATATCAACATTACAGTTATTAGTTGTCATTCATTCATAGTAGCCTAAAATCTTGTATTTCTATTTATGTATATTCAAACAGATGATTTATTTTCTTCATATCAGTATTGTATTCCTATTGTTAGTTGCTCATGACTTGTGACACCAGTTCTTGGGATAGTTTGTATTAAATTTCGCGTTTTAGTTGACGATCTTCCGTTTGGGTTGTGTTTTATGTTTGTTGGTTTGCTTAGAGGATTGAATTAGGTGCCATCACGACCTGGTGGTATGACATAATTTAGAACTCAAAGGGCATAAAAACTGGCTAAAAGTTCTTGAAATATTTTTGTCACTCAACATTTTGTATTTTGACATTCGTGTTTATACAAGAAACATATATTCTGATTGGCAAAATACATAACTTACCCCTTGAACTATGGACCAAATTCCTGTTATACACTTTTTATGGACGAAAATCATCTTACACACCCAATATTTTCAGAGTGTGCCTAAAATATACCACTTTTACTACGTAACAGACGCGTGCATAACCAAAGAAATAAAGAGCTTGAACACTTAAAAACAAAATTTTCAATCTTTGTTTAAGTGTCACGCGTCAAAATTTTAATTATTTTCTTTATTTCTTAAATTATTTGGCCCCCAGAACCCCACCCCCTCACTTCTCTTCTTCTTCCTCAAACGTTGTCCCCCTTTTTCAACTTCTTTTACACATAAATTTTACTCACACTTCCCACAATTGCTCCACCAGCTTGCCACCAAATATGATCCCGCTGAGACATCACATAATAACCTCTTAGTATCTCATCTCTATTTCAACATCAGATTAAGTTTCATATTCGACTTACATAACACCTATATTTTTTAACTTTAACTAAGATTTGAGTTTTACTTTAATAATAAATTAATTACTGCTCTTGAAAATAATCTACAATAGAGTTTAAACATGTAATGTATATGAAATTTGGTGGTTTGCTGGTCAGAGAAGTTGACGGTGAATTAGGCAGCCATAATATCTTTTATAATTTGGAGTTGTGGGTCCTGATTTTCTTGTGTTAGATCTAAAATTAAAATTATTAAAGTCAAAAAATTGGAACTAAATCTATTTGGGCTACTAAGTTTTGGTTTGAAATCGAAAGGTGGCAGTTCCGGTATTATCGGCGGCAATAGAGAGCGAGGGAGAACAAAAAGAAATGGAAAGAAGGGTGTAACTATAATTTTCTTGTCGGATATGGAAGATATATGAATGTGGAGAAGGGTGGTGGTGAAGATATCTAATTTCATGGTTATGGGGTATTCGGTAAGATGAGATGGAAGGGGGTAATTTGCAGAGGAGAGAAAGAGATGAAATGAAAAAGATGGTTAAGGGGTGTAATTGTAATTTTATGTGGTTTATTTTTTTAATAAAAATAATGACACGTGTCATGACTTTATTGGTGCGTGACATTGCACATGTTTTGAAAAAACTAGTCAAAAAAGATGGTGTGTCTTAGGCATACTCTGTAAAGGTTGGGTGTGTAAAGTAATTTTCGACCGTAAAAAGTGTGTAACAGGGATTTGGTCCATAGTTCAGGGGGTAAGTTGTGTATTTTTTCATTCTAATTATAGGTATAGATATCAATAGGCAAAATACATAAGTTACTACCTGAACTATGGACCAAATCCATGTTACACATTTTTTGCGAACAAAACTTATTTTACACACTCAACCTTTCTAAAGTGTGTCTAAGACACACTTCTTTTGCAACGTGACACGCGCGTGCTTAACAAAAAAATATAAGCGCGTTCAACTGTTAATTTTTTTATTTCAATCCTTAATTAGATGACAGATGTCAAAATTTTAATATTTTTCTTTCTCTTAATATTATTTGGTTCCTCTTTGAACACCCCCTCTCCCCAACACACACACCCGATCTGCTTCCTCATCTCACACCATTTTCTTATCTTGAAAAATTATGGCTATTTATTAATTCCCATTCAATTTGAGATTGTTAAAACGATTTGAATTATTTCTTTGGTAGATCTAATTTTTTTGGTTCTTTAGCGTCTGGTTTTTTCCATTCACTTTTCTTTTTCAGTTTATTTTAAGATTTAATTTGTTGTCTTCTTCCTCCAATTATCTCAGTTCACAACTTTCAGAAATTGATAAACAAAGCTAAATAATCGAGGAAAATTACAGAGCCCAATTTCCTCATTCTCGGAACACACCAATACAATACATAGATTTTCTTTTTCATTCTCCACCCATCTTCTCTTTATCCGACGCTATCATGAATAGCTGCATATCAAAGGTCAGGTCGAGTTTTCAGTCAAATTTTCACTGTGAAGTGCAATGTGAAGTTCATGAATTTGTGAAATTTTTATCTTGATTGTTTTTCATAGTTTTCTCCTATATTTATTTTGAAGTAGTTTTTGTGAAACTTAAATGGGTCTTCAAATGAATTAGAAATAAGTTATTAGGTGAATTCGAAGTAAAACAATCTGTTTGATTATTATAAAATGAGTTATTTGATTGTAAAATTTTGGCTTGGGCTCCTAAAGTTTTGTTGAATCTGAAAGTGGCGCCGTCTAGTTTTTTCTGTGAGAGAAGATGCTTGCAAAAGAGAAAGAGATAAGAATTGCTAAGGGGTAAACATGTAAATTTTAAGTATTTTATTTTTTAAAAAATTAACAATACGTGTTATGATCTTATTGGTGCGTGACATTACACATATTCTGAAAAAATGGTCAAGAAAAAAGTGGTGTGTAGGCACACTCTAGAAGGGTTGAATGTGCAAGATAATTTTTGTCCGTAGAAAGTGTGTAACGAGAATTTCGTCCATAATTCAGGTGGTAACTTATGTATTTTGCCATATAAATATAAATTATGATTATATTAAAACTTTAAATAGTTTCAAGAATCAAAATCACACACTTGAATCAATTGAAGGATGAATGTATTCAGTTGGATAACATAAGGACTAAATTCTGAATAAAGCAATATCTCGAGGATCAAAATTGCTATTTCCCAACAAAAAAAACATCAAAAAAAAAAAAATTCCCGTAAAAAACGTTAAATAGTAACCTAAAATTTACAGTATAGTTGAGTGTGATCCCACCTTTTAAACAAAGGGAAGTTAAATAAATTGGAATTATCTTTTCATTTTGGGAAAAGACCAAATATACCCCTCTATTTTCGGATATTGTCTACATTTAACCTCCGTTATACAATCCGGTCAAATTTATCCCTACCATCAACAAACTTTTAAAAATTACCCCTAAGTCACTTCTTCTTCTTTCCCAAATTATTTTAATTAAGTCACTTATTCTTATTCTTGATCAACTATTTTCGAAATAATTGGCATTTACACGTTTTTTTAATTAGAAAAAATAAGAAAAAGAAATATTAAAATAATACAATAGTTAGTAAACAAAGTATAGTAAATTGAAGAATCTAAATTAGGTAGTTTGTCTAAATTTTAAAAGTATTTACAACATACCAACTTTAATGAATTCGCTGCACCAAAGGTATGGAAACTTTGCAAGTATTAGTGATAGAAGTTGAAATTCCTTGGACACTTTACGTTATCGAATTCAACTTTGCTTTAATCAAATGACTATGCATTGTGCACTCTCAAGTTAGTTAATCGAACTCTATATAACTAGACAATAACAAAATATATTTGAATATACATGTACATACACGATGATCATCTGCATATAATACACAATAAATATACTTATTGAATTCTACGGTGTATATATTGTTGAAAATAAATAAAATTTTAAACCAATTACAAACTCATTATAACAAAAAGAGAAGTGGGGCATTCATAATTAAAAATATCCATGAATGATATGTATAGTCTAGTATCTTTAGCGTTCACATAAATTATAATTTTTGAAAATAGTGGATCAAGAAAAAGAATAAGTGACTTAATTAAAATGATTTGGAAGATTCTAGATCACCTAATGTAGTGAAGGGTAATTTTTAAAAGTTTGATAATGATAGGGTAAATTTGGCTAAACAAGTATAACGGTGAGATAAATTTGGCCGGACATTATATACCGTATATGTTATATTTGGCCCTTTTCCCTTTCATTTTTCACCAAATTAGAATCAACGAAACTATTCATCCTCTAACCTCTGTAAATTAGAATCAACGAAACTCTTTGTTGCTAATGGCGGCTGTTTCAACTCACTTCAACAGCTCTCTAAATAAACCCTTCCTTTCTCTCTATTTCTCTATTCCCCATTTGGGTTTCTCCCAAGTTGTTCAATTTCCAACTTTGAAACCAAAATTTCCCCTTTCAAAGCCCAAAACAGTTGTAATTTCTGCCACCAAAGCTGATGGAACATATGCAAATGAAGACGACTCTCTCACAACTTTCGACTCTTCCATCAGACAAAAGTAAGTTTTTTTTTAACTTGCATTTGTCAAAGTCTTAGCAGAAAAAACTGTTATAAAGATTGGAAACTACAAAAAGAAAGGTTTCAGAAAATCGTGGTTAATTTTTCTGTTTTCAACTGATATGATAATCTTTGAAAATTGTTTTAAGATGTTAGATATTTAAACTACTGTTTTCACAAGTAATAATAATTTAATCAAATTTAACCTCCATACAATGATTTCAATGTTAATATTTTTTCTTTTTTGTTATTTGTCTAATATTTTCTTCTACTATTACTTATACAAACATAAGTCTAAACCATGTCTTAGACTCCAGTCAAATGGTATCACACAAAATGGACTGGAGGGAAAATAAGTCTTTCGTGTAAGTATTCTCAAGTTATGCTGGTGTAAATGCATGTGAGATGTGATTACAGGACTAGGCGCCATACGATTCAAGTGTTTGTTGGGGATGAAAGTGGAATGATCAATCGTATTGCGGGAGTCTTTGCTCGAAGAGGGTACAACATTGAGTCTCTTGCTGTTGGTCTAAACAAGGACAAGGCTCTTTTTACTATAGTTGTTTCTGGAACTGAAAGGGTGTTGCAGCAAGTTATGGAACAGTTACAAAAGCTTGTAAATGTGATCAAGGTGATTACTTTGATTTTCATATGGTATTTTAATCTATAAGCTGTTAGACTAAGCACTCAGGTCTTGGTTCCTCCCCCTAGAAATAGTAGGGGTTGTTTGATGCATGACAAAATATTATGTGCTTCGGTTGTAACATGAGAATTAAAAAATATGTGGGTAATGAATTGAATATGCATTTATAGCTGCTTGTTTGGTGAATCGTATTAATCTCTTGGATGTGTAGTTTCCATACAGTTAGCTTGCAACCAAATTAACATCTTCCTTGTATGTTTTGATTGAGGTCATAGTACGGTGTGTTACCAATTTTTTATTTAGCAAAACCTACCCTTTTTGTAATGAGTATTAGATAAATTACTAGTTTGCTGGATTGTTCTCACGTGGCGTCTAAATTAAAGTGATGTTATTAATGTTCGAATAACCTTTTTTCTGGTCTATAGATTTGTGTCAATTGAATGTACATGCCGTTGCTCCCTTTTCTGAAAATGATGTTCAAAGGCTGAAATACGTTTAATACTCAAAACCATGCAAATGGTCTCAGCTATGGTTATAAATACGGTCTTTAGTACTTTAACTAATTCATGATTCGATCAGCTGGGTTTAAGTGAATTTGATAAAAGAGCTTAAATTATTACTCAAAGAGCCTTCATAGTGTCAAGCTTTAGCTTGTCACGCAGTAATGGTTTTCTTCCTTCCGCTCCTTTTGGACTTTTCTTTGTGTTTGATACTTTTGATTTAATCTGTAAAAGTTGATGGTCAGGTTGAAGATCTATCCAAGGAGCCACAAGTTGAACGTGAATTAATGCTTATTAAAATCAGCGCCGATCCAAAATACCGCGCAGAGGTTCTTATTGGAGTATTGGAGTAACATTGTCCGTATTACCATTTTACTATTATGTTATGATGGGTCCAAATCTTTTGATCATTACTAGGTTATGTGGTTGGTGGACGTTTTCAGGGCAAAAATTGTGGATATATCTGATCATTCTCTGACTATTGAGGTGAGGTTTGATGACATAGATCAGAATCCATCTTTTTTTTTCTTTCTTGAACTCGATGCTTGTGAATTGGATACCAAATGTCTGACATGTTTTTTATTGCATAGATACAAACACTGGTATTTGGTAATTATACAACTCTAATGCTACGGAGTTTTTAATGCGGGCTAGATGGGAGAAGGGAGAAAATAGAGAAAAATAGGAGCAACGAGAGATTACAATTAGAGAAAAGAGAAAATAAATAGAGAGAAAAGAGTGAGAGAGACAAAAAGTAGAGACGGAGTAAGAATAAGAGAGAATAGCGAGGGAGATTTTACCAATATCAATTCATCAGTATTATTCAAGTCTATTCCCAACAAAGTATGTAAGGGTCTTATATATAGAGTAGGAATGGTAAATAGTTAGAACACCTAGAATAGATAAAGCTGCATCTGTAACTAAAGAAAAAGACTACCTCAAATTAGTAAATAAAATTTGATCTCTAACTAAAAGATAAAACTAGATAAAATCACCGTTCAGGAAAACAAACAGGGGGATAAGATTAGATAAAATCTGGGGATAAGATTAGATAAAATCTTATACTCCATCTAAGATAAGATTATTTTCTGTTCTATTTTCAACAAATAGATCATATCTCGGAGTTGTAACTTTTTCCTTCTTTTTTTCCAAATGGTTTCCGATGGTCTAGGTAATTTTTGTGAAACTGATTTTCAGTTGATAGTGGTAAGTTTCATTCTTATGAAGCAAAAAGCATCTCACATTGACGATTAGATCGTATGTCAGTCTCCTGTCATATCTACCAATGGATTCTTTTTCCAGTAACAGTAATATGTGGGCCAGCGTTTTTTAGCCTAAGGTCTATAGGAAACAGTCTCTCTACTTTGTGTAGGGGTAAGATCGAAGTATACCCTACCCTCCCCAGACCCCACTTGTGGGACCATACCGGGTATGTTGTTGTTGTAGTGTTATCTGCGCCACGCTAGTTTGCACTTCGACCATTCCACCTGGTACCTGGATCCGCAGTACAGGTACTGGATAATTCTGCCATCAAGGCTTTGGCATGGAGAAATCACAGTGGGGTCCTTTGATTCTCTTATTCTTTTCCAACATCTTGTGCCATAATTTCCAGCGGTGGTCATGTGGTCAATCATGTATTCCATTGATGAAGTTGGTAGTAGTGCTTCTGTGAGCACCACATACTTCTACAAGTGTGCTTTCAACTCTGCTGCAAAAAGAGGTGAAAATCAGGACATGCACAGAGGGCCAATATCAACGCAAATCGTGGAAAACAATGTTCTTGTACATCTTATATCTCAAGATAGTAATGAAAAACAATGTGTCGTATATTTTATATCTCAAGATAGTATTGTTGTACCAAACAAGAAAAAGACAAAACTAAGTTTTCTAGTTACCTGAAGACAGAATTAGGGAAAAAGAAAACTCATGACCTAATCTACCAAACATGCAATCCTCCTTTGCCTTTGCCCAAATGAATTTATTTAGTTTATCAATGTATGTCACTGGTGTTTACTCATGGCTGAGTGAACTGCAGCAATACCTGCAGTTTTGCCAAGATATCCTATTTGTCGTCTCAATAAGCGTTGAGGTTGTATTTTGCTAAACACGCTTCAGAACTGACAAATTGTGGTTTTCTCATGCTTTTAGTAGTTGCGAGTAGCATTTAACTTTCCTGCATGACATGGTTGAACAGTTAAAAAAGTACATTTGAGCCAAAGTCGATCCTGTCTTTCAGATGCTTATCATTTAAACAGGTAACTGGAGATCCAGGGAAGATGGTGGCTGTTCAGAGGAACTTAAGTAAATTTGGAATTAGAGAAATTGCTCGTACTGGGAAGGTATCTTGAAAGGAAATCATTATAATGCTTCTTAAATTTGTGTCTCAAGTAATCACCGTCACATGATTGATTTGAACATAGATTGCCTTGAGAAGGGAAAAAATGGGGGAATCTGCTCCTTTTTGGCGGTTTTCAGCAGCATCATACCCAGATCTTGAAGGTGCAATGTCTGCTGGTACTATTTCGAGGACAACCAAGAGGACTCCTAATGGAGAATCTATGTCTATGGCTGAGGTATGCAAGTTACATGGATTGTGCCTGTTTTTTTGTAGCAATATATAATTTGTTTCTTTCCTGAACGTACAAGTTACCTCATACACAGCCAATTGCTAGTTGGTAATTGTCATTTGTCAGCAACTCAGGAATTATTTTACTCAGACATGAAAAATAATATGATTCATTTTCTTTCAATTATTAGAATTCAGTTTATGTTTGTGATAAGCTTACAAAAGAAATAGTCAAGATTGCAAGATGTGAATCTTAATATGCTCAATAACTTTAAAGGAATTTAAAGTATCCGTTTGATTTATGTGTACTTTTGTGAATTGTTGGAGCTTAGTAACTTCCTTTTCTATAAGTAACTTTTTATTGCATCATGGTCCCTTATACAGGAAGCATACACTATAAAATTGTTTAGAGAAAAGATGGTTCACAAAAGGCATCTTTGTAACTAGTTGTATGGTTTAAAACCTATGTTGCGCGGACTCTCCAAAATGCTGCCGCACCCGTGTCGGATCCTCCAAAAGTAACTACTTTTGGAGGATCCGACACGCACCCGGCGGCATTTTCGGAGAGTCCGAGCAACATAGTTTAAAACAGCTAGAGCACAATATTATTAGTCATTCACTAATGGATTGGGGGGTCATTTAATTGGGCCTTTATGAGCAAGGTCCAAAATATGATATTAAAACCTAACATGGTGCATACCGTCGATGCATGGCCTTCAATGTCTTTTGAGATTTGACATTTACCTTTTTTCCTATGGAAAAACTCTCTTCTCTCTCCTTAATATCTGACTTTGGATGCACTTTCTTTTTGCCAAACGAAGGGAGATGTCTATCCTGTTGAGACAGATGACAACTCTGGAGTCAGTCAAGTTCTTGATGCTCACTGGGGTGTTCTCAATGATGAAGATGTAAGACATTGTTAACTGTTATTCAAAGGTGCCTTTGTTCCATTCTAGATGAAATGTTTTTCATATTTTTGAAGGTTTTGACGTTACATCCTTTTTTATTCAGCATTTCCAGGGAATCTGTCATCTGAGTAGATCGAATTAGACCATCTTGCTGACATTAGATGCAAATAAATCACATGATTGTTTCTCTATAGCCTGTAAAGGATATGAACTTAAATGTGCAATTTATGAGGGCTGTTCTGAAATCTGAATTTTGCCTGCTTTGTTGAATTTCTCTTAGAAAACCAAAGAACATCCTTTTGTTATATTGCATTTTCCATGTATTGTATATGGCTGGCTTATTGCTTTTGCTCTCTATAATAAAAGAACCAAAGGAGGGAATAGTTTGATCTCTTCATCTTTGCCACCACTGAGACTAGGATGGCCTGAAATACATCTGGGGAAGTTTTAATATACCCCACCGGGGCTAAAATAAAATAAGTTGATCAGATTTTAAGCACCATATATGAAATGTGATCTGTACAACTTGTATTTCACTGTTAAAAAAAAACTACAGCTTTGCCTCCTTAATTTCCCACTGGTTGCATTTTCTGTTGATGTAGTTTTTGTCGCAGTTGTCTTTTTCTTGATGTTTGCTTGAATAATTTCCATGGGGAAATGGCCCATAATATGCTGCAAATTCAAAGGATGTTCCAGATTGAGAACAGCTTTTGCTAGTCTTATCATTCTTGAATTCCATGTCTTGACGATTAGTCCATTTAAATTGAAAACTGCTTACAAGTGATGCTTACGTTAGCCCTTGGCTTAATTCTTCCAGACAAGTGGGCTTCGCTCACATACTTTGTCAATGCTTGTGAATGACACTCCTGGAGTTCTCAACATAGTCACCGGAGTTTTTGCTCGACGAGGGTATAACATCCAAGTATGTTCAAATATTTGCGCTTCTTTTTACAGAACCCAAGTTTCCTCGTCCTTTTGTCTTCCATTTGTAGTGTTTATTTTTTGTACTTAAATGTATTGAATTATCCTGTCCAGAGTTTAGCTGTTGGACATGCTGAAGTTGAGGGGCTTTCTCGTATTACAACGGTTGTTCCTGGCACAGATGAGTCAGTTAGCAAGTTGGTGCAGCAACTGTATAAGTTGGTTGATATTCATGAGGTAAGTAGTCATCTATCATGAGTGCTTGCTCAGTATCCAATCCGATGGAAGATTTTGTACTGTTTCAATTTAAAAATTGCTGTCGACTATAGAATTTCCTGAGAGGCAGGGAACTGCGGTGGTGTAAGAATGGTGATTTTTTATTGGTCATTTTTTTTTTCACAAAATTGTGACAGAATATGTTTAATATTGGAAAACAGTTTTCCAAATTGAGTATTAATTTTATAGATTATTATGTTCACCTGGTTAAGCACTACAGTGTTTTCTTTTTCTTTTTCCTCTTTTTGGTGTGGCTTCCAGAAATTGTTCCTCGAGTATTGAACTGCTCATGGATTTATTTAACAGCTGATTTGTATGTAATCATTCATATTATGAGCTTAATGTGTATGCTTTAGATTTGGTATGCATGTTATTCCTTTTAGTATTATGAGTGATTTTTATGCGTTGTGATGTTTAATGACTATTATTTTCAGAATATATCAATTGAATGGCCTTTACTCCTTCTACTTCTTTTTGTGTGATTGGGACTAAACAAAAAGGTGCATGTAGAAATACAGTGGCATGCACCTTATCATGCCATGTCCCTTAATTTTGAAATTATTCATGTCTAACAAGGGACTAATTTGTCTAATTTTAAAACAGATATGGTTTGAAGTTGTTTCTCAGCTGGTTTCTCCGACCTAAGTTGCGCGGACTCTTCATTTTTGGTGCCGCACCCGTCTCGACACGGGACGGGAGCGGGAGCGGGATACGTCCCGGATTCGGTCAACTAACTTCAGATACTTTGACCCGAGTCCATCGATAAATTTAGGGGGAAATTGAGATTTTGATTTCTCAAAATTAAAAATAAAACAAATTTAAGATATGAGAAATGGCATACCTTCAATATTGTAGTACTTTTGTCTCATATTTGCTGCTTTGTGTTTCAGAAAAATCAAGAATTTAAGGGGTCGTGTTCTGAGTTCGGACTTCTAGTAGACAGTAGCAGCGATATAGATGGAGAGTTGGTGGAAGGCCTTAAATGGCTTTCTTTATAGGCCTTGAATTTTTTTAGCCGAATCCCCCCACCCGTATCCATACCTGGATCCGCACCCCGCAATCTTAAAATTTAGATTTTGCCGAATCCGACACTCGGATCTGTGCCCGTATCGGATGCCCGCAACCGAGGCCGAGCAACTTAGTCTCCGACAACAGAAAACTATCTTTTGGCTCTTATCTGGACCTACTTCCTCTAGTTAAAATGCAATTGCTGATTCTTATAATTTTTTTAGAAAAGCAAGCGCATTTTTTTCTAGACTTTTTAAAAAATCTTAATCCTATGTATTTTTTTTTTTAAAAGAAATTAATTCCAGAACCAGATCCAAACATTTGTTGTCCAAACCAAAACCAAACAAATAAAGATAATTGTATTCCAAGCCAAGAGCCAAGTAATCCATATTACTGTCTTAAACCCAATATTGGTGTCCGGGTCCATGCAATAACTTGTTAGGATATCTAGCGATCTAAGATTGCGATGTTAATTTGCATGCAAACGAGCAGAAAGTGATAAATGGTTTTGATTTATTGCATCCTTTCAGGTTCGGGATATTACTCACCACCCATTTGCGGAAAGAGAACTAATGTTGATAAAGATTGCTGCGAATGCTGCAGCACGCCGCAATGTTCTTGACATTGCCAGCATTTTCAGAGCAAAAGCTGTTGATGTGTCTGACCACACTATAACTCTTGAGGTAAAGATTCGTTTACACTAGTACTTTTAGTTTGTCTTCTCTGGACTTGATTTAGAGAGTTGTCTTTGGTAATGGGTGTATGGTATGCCTAGTGGTTAATGCAAGAAATATTGTATTTTTTAAATTTCTGATCTTTCGTTTTGGTCTGTCAAATGTGCCTGCTTCATCCTCCATTTCCCACCTTGGTATACATCATTCATGGCTGATGCTTGATCACTTAAGGTTTTGCACTTCAATAAAGTTGACATGGACCAACTATTGCTTTTATGAACATGCGATCATTCACCATTTCCAATTTGATCCCTCTGGCTACCGTGGGTGATTGTGGATCAAATATAAGATGATGGATCAGTTTCTTGGTTCTTTATGTTGTACAGTGTAGCACTCTTAAGCTTTGTCCTGAAGAAGAAAAAAGTTTGGATGAGAGCTCTTTTTGCACTTCAATTGCAGTTTATGAACCAACCAGGCAGACCTTCAGTTTTATCTAATGTTGGATGAAGCTTCTCTTGGCCATTATAATGAACTATTACTTTCTTTGCTTTTTCCAGCTTACAGGAGATTTGCATAAGATGGTTGCTTTGCAGCGGCTACTAGAGCCTTGTGGTATTTGTGAGGTCAGTTACTCCAATAATATTGTTTCTATATCAAAATTATTATCCAATAATATGCAGTGCAGCTTTCACAAAATGAGTTGGTAAGTACAGGGATTGTGATGTAAAGGTAATTGTGATACAAAGGGATAAGGGTCACTGCAATGACTGGTTTTGTTTGGTTCATGAGATTTAAGGGAACTGGGATCAACGTAAGGATTCCAGCTTATGATTCAGTTCATGAAGTGAAGGCAATAAGAATTGAACCTTTGTGAAGAGGCACCATTGACCTAAATGTATTGTATAATCTGTAAATTTTTCTTCACGAGATTTTTAACACCACCTATTAAGAATGAAAGTTTTTGCATTAAATTGAGCAAAAATAAGGTCGTTAGACATTGAGTAAACACCAGAAAGGGACAAAAGGAGGAGATTTTAAGTGGGAAACATGAGAAGGAGAGAAAGGGATGTGAGATAATTTGGACACCATATGGCTATATAGAGGCTAAAACTATTCGCTCGTAAAAGGGAAATAAAATAAATGGAGTTTAATGCTATACTGATAAGTAACTTTCAGATCCACAACCCATAGGGAACCAGATGATGTTGTGTTTCCTTATTTAGCCCACCAAATGACTAATAATGACCAAGTTCATACAGTGGCTAAAAAGGTGCATATCGTACTACCAAAGGTTCTGTATAGTTCCCAAAGCCCGACATGAAACCTCTAATTTTCATTTGCAATTTCCTTGTGGTTGTATTTTTTGAGGCTAAGCTTTCTGTCCTGATATACATCCAACAGGTAGCGCGAACAGGACGTCTGGCGCTGGTACGTGAATCAGGTGTGGATTCGAAGTACTTGCGAGGATATTCATACCCTTTGTAGTCTAAAGTCCTCGAACCTAAGGAAAATGCCTGCTCTTCGCGGAATGTATGTGAACATGGACGGCTGAATTACCCCCTTGGACTTTTTAGAAGTAGAATATATACCCCCTTGAAAAGTCACACCAAAATCTATGTTAGGTGGTGATTTGCACACGAAATGTTACATTTTTGCTCTTTTTTCTTTTTCCTTTTCTCCTTTCCTTTTTCTTTTTCATTCCCTTTGCAGCATATGTTACTTCCGCCGTTGTCATCCAAATAACAGAAAGCCAGATTAGCTTCTTCTTTGCTTATCACTAGCTTCTTTCTTTTTCTAATTCTATTTTCTTTCTTTTTCATTCCTTTAATGGAATTTCTTTCCACCAGTAATGGAGTTTTTTATACATGTTTGGGTTTGGGGTTCAGACTTCTGTTTGTTGAAGTCTGAAAGTGGTGGAAGATTGGTGGAGCAGGCGCCGGCAATGGTGTTGAAAGAGGAGAGAGAAAATGAAAAGGAAAAGGAAAAGGAAAAGAAAGAAAAGTTAAAATAAGAAGGCAAAAAAATTGTAATATTTTTTAAAAGAAACGACTAAAAATAAATTATCAACAATTGTTTTTGCTGCTCGAGTGAAATACACTCTTTGCCACCTCAGTACTTGGGGGGAAATAATTTTGCTTTTAAATAGTCAAGAGGTATGAGTGTGTAATTGGAAATACCGCTATAATCTAGGGGGTGATTTTATGCCTTTCTTTTTATTTATGATATGTTTATACGGCTACTCTTTCTACTGATACTTGTATTATCAGCGTATATATTAGGTGAAATTTCAGCATTCGATGTAAAAGGTTGTCTCGGTTATATTGTCATAAGACCTTTGAGTAGGCCGGAGAAGGATCCCATATCGGTCATGGTTGTTATTCATGCCCTATTTTGATTGGCCAATACTATATGGTATGAGCCGATGGAACAGATCCTATATAGTTTAATGACGTGGCACATGGTAGTATCAAGAGTAAAAGGGTAGTTAGATGCGCGAAGCTCAAAATCTTATTGGGTTTATCTACGCAGTTTTATTTTACATTTTTGTAAGAATATTTTTTACGGCTTGAATTCACCTCAGGACGACAACTCTTAATTATTGTGCCAAAGCTTCTTTTCATGGAATTATAAAATTTAAAAATTCATGGCATTTTGGAGTACCAACGGGAATTGTTACTAGTAGAAAAAAAATCCAAATAGCTTCACTGATACAAGCTCAAGAAGAGAAGATCATGACTGGTACTGAAGAAAGAATAAGCATTTTATTCGCTGGAGCACTTTGAATGCCTTGAGCTGTGTACACAATTTTCCCATAAAGATGAATGTGAAAATCCTTCCATTCGGATGCTTTTCAAGATTAGGCAGTGCAAGTTGTGTGTTCCTTGAGCTTTCTCAAAGTTGTACTGTGAAATCATTCCACATACAATACAGCTATCCGAGCATCTGTCCACCAACATTCTCAAATTGTATATGTCGATTCCAGTACCTAATTTAAACACCGAAAAGTTGATCAAGTACAATTAATAATTTGGACTAGTAAGAAATGTATGATTGAGAAGAAATTATAGGTTCAATAATCCCGTTCTTTTGGTAAGTATATGCAACAATATATAGCTGCTTCTTGAAACAGACCTTTTCATATAGAATAAATTTATACATAACTTGCAGTTTTTTCGTCAGACTTCCAAATTCTATAAAACAACTGGAACTTCAAATCTTCCAGGCACAAAATTGAGACTGTTATAACGTGAAGGAGGTTTCCAAGTTTGTTACTACTTGGCAGCCTGTGAATGAAAACCATGTATGCAAGGGAAAGGAGCTTTATAAAATATTGACAGATCATTTTGCTCAGGATTAAGGTCTTCTTACTCTTTTCCTTAATTCCCTATTCTCTGCTTATCTTCATAGGCAGTAGGCAGTAGTAGTGTATGCAGGGTTTTGTGCGAGCTGTGTCAATCTCTTGTCACAATTCGACTTGTACTGGGGCACCGGGGTTTAAGGCTTTACAATTCCTATCTTATCTCACACTAATTGATGTTTATTTTGCATTATCTTTCAAGTGGTGTCAATCTATTTTGTGTGTGTATATATTATACTATTATTTTAAGAAGTACATGTAATATGTGTTTAATTAAAATTCTTTACTTACTGATTATAAGTAATGCTGCACAAAATAAAAACACCAGGCTACTATAGTTTACAAACCTTTTGTTTGGTTCCAGCACTTCCAACAACATAGCAGCCAAACAATTTGGCAAATTGCCCCACCAGCACTGTCTCCCCTTTCTTTGGAGAAGAAACCTCATAAAAACCAACATATATAAGCAGTCAATCCTATAAGACCTATCAAAAGAAGAGGAGAAACAGATTCCATGGTGGATTCACTTACCTAAGACTCCTATATAATAGGAAAGTGGAAATTCTGTACTTTCAATTTTAGTAAGAGTGTCGGCAGCTGCAATAATACTGTACTCTTCCCCACACCAGATCGCCCTTCTTGAAATTTAGATCGTCACAATCCACTACTCTTGACACTCCATAACCCGAGATAGGCTACAAAATAACAGCACTGATTATAGCTAGCTAGGAGTATTGAATCCCTTTTGTCTAAAAATTACACTATGCAATAAAGAAATAATGAATTTTTTAGTTTTATATAAACTATTGAATTCCTTTGACATAAGAAAAACTTATCTATCTACTAGTTTTAGTATACGTGCGTTGCACGTGTGTATAGTATCTATCAATTAAAAAAATATATACGTTGACGTTAAAATAAAATGTAATATTTATTTAAATGATGAAAATAATTTTTCTCACATTAACATGGTAATTGTATTCAATATCTTTTGAATATGCATGAATGATGCATTTAGATAAATTAGTTGTGCATTATTTTATAATTATACATATCTTATAATATGATATACAAATATATTAAATTGTGTCTCACCTCAGTCTCTTTATGAATACATTTTTTCTTCTACCATTTCATTCTTATTTCTTAAAGTTTGCATTTTAACAATTTATTCCTAATACAATAACTGATTTTATTTTATATTCTGATCTCTTTTAATTCAAATATTTAATTATCTTTTTAATAACTAAAAGAAATAATTTATTTTTTGAGGATTCATATTATTAATATTAGCTCATATCATATATTAAATATTTAATTATAACTATATTTTTATCTACAAAAATTCTTTTGTCAAATGATATTAAAAATCAACCTTTTGTACTTTATATTTGTCGGAGTATTGGTAAACAACTTTTGTCAATCACTTTTCTTTCTCTCTTGCTCTTGCTATTATTAAATATTTTTGTAATTATTATTTTTAATTATATTTAAAAATCTGTATTAATATTTATATCTACTCAAATTATTGATCAAAGAATAAAATTATAGTTAGCGGATCAATTTCACATGTCTACTCATAACATTTATACCTTACTTTCTGATTTGGGATAAAGGACAATGCTTCCTCTTTCTTTAGTCTTTTCTTTTGTTATATCATAATTGTTTACCTAAAATTTAGTATTATTGTACAATCTCTTTTGCACTAAAAATATTTAATTGTAGAAATTCATACGCATAAAGATTTGGTGTTACTTAATCATACTATAGTCGTAAAATTTATAAAAGATAAAATTGTAATGATTTTAAAGTCCTAATTATAAGAACTTCTTACTTATTCAAAAAAAGAAAGATTAATAAGTAATAAATCTGATTTAATTTAAAACTCCTAAATATTAGCTAGGAGAATAATTAAATGACTATTTTGTCTAAAGTGAACTTTATTTTAAAAGGGTAAAATTGGCGAACGACATTTCGCTAAGGGTCTTCGTGCTTTTAATATAATATAAATATTTTATATTATATTAAAAGTGGAAAGCCCTTAATTAAAAAAGTTGAATTACTTAAATATCCTTTTTAAAAATTTAAATACCCTATTTAACCCTCCTTACGAACCTAAATACTCTATATTTAATTTAAAAAGTAGGTTTTTGAAGAGCGAAGAGTTGCCTCCGTTTAACTAACTTACAAACAGCCCTAAGGCAACCCTTCATACTCACCATTAGTGGAGTCGACGAAGCATCCTTTTTCTTCTAAAAAATGAGATATGGCTAAACACGGCAATTGAAACCAACTGGTGTGGCACCTCTCCGTTCCCTAATCGTTATATAGAATAGCACTCACACAACTAAACACAGAGTAAATGCGATGTGTTGAGTGGTTATCAATGATTCAAAGTCAAGAACTAATCAGTAAAGCCACCGTATTGAAATGACATTCCTTTAATTTACAAAAACTAATAGTAGTTACCTTTGGTAAACATGCTCACTTGAGATTATCATGGTTTAAATCTCACAGTTTGTTGCAAGATTGCATCACCAAAAACCTAAGAATTCCAGTATTTCCTTTTCTATGTGGAATTAAACAAACAAACAACGAAGAAACCAATTGAATCTTGAAACAGAGAGGGACTTGAAGATTGACCAACTACATATAGCCAATGGAGTGGTTTTGCATTCAAAATGATTTTCTCTAGGGGAAACTATGTCAATGGGAGGAATCAAGAAGGAAGTGGCGACATAAATCAGTTCTACTTTCTTTATTCTATCTACTTTTAATTAATTTTCTTCCCTATGTTGTTTATGAAATTCAGATTTTACAAATTTTAAAGTGAATGCTAATTATGTGATGATCTTAAATTAGTTTATTTGCATGCCGGAATAACATGCGTTTAAAAAGTTATTTTTTTTAAAAACAATTTCTATCAAATAAAATTGGGTTGTTGGTATATATACAATTTGATAGTATGCATGAAATAGTGTTAACGAAGAATAATAGTTCAATTTACTATTTAATATAGAAATGTCTAACGGAAAACTAATTAACCCAATACAATCATACAATGATCATTGATAATATAATAAGTCAAGATGATGTCATAGTAATTGTGGATAAAAGTGAAATAACTTTGAACAATTTGTTTATAATTAAACGGTTGAAAGAAACATATATGCACAAGGAATATCTTTTACAAGAAAGTATTAGATGAGGACACTTAATTACATATTGTATCTCATAAATGACTCGACAATTAAGTAAACAAATTACATGTATCTAATTAAATTTTTGTTGCTCATTTTCGTAGGTTCAACCGATATCAAATTATCTTGACCTCGACAATCAAGTCACCACACGATGATCCATGTTGATCATTCACCAAAACTTGTACTTATTATTTCATGAATAATTATTTATACAAA